AAAAAAGAATCCGACAAAGATTGTAGTTTTTTTTTGTCCGAGTTAACAAATCCCACATATCAAAATGAAATAAATTTGCAAAAATAAAAATGAAATGATAATCTGTGAAATTAAATTACCTCTTTCCGCAGATTAGGGATTGGTTCCATAGCTAAACAGATCTAAGCCAGCCAGATTACTTGGAGCTCTTATATATCATCATTATTACAAACACCATCATCATTTTTTAGCTTCTTCGATTCTTGTTCTTCGTCACCGTCACAATGAACTCCTCTGAAAAATGAATGAACACAGCCCCAAATGAGAGTGAGGATGGAAGAGAGATAATCAGAAGAATCAAACACAACTCAAAAGAGAAATTCAACATAAAAAAGTCATAGAAAAACGCATGAATCAGGGGGAATTAAAAAAAAAGCAAATACCTTGTCCTTGTCAGAAAGAATCAAACACAACCCCAAATGAGAAATTCAACACACAAAAGAATGTTATAGAAAAAGGACTGAATCAGGGAAAAGAAAAAGAAGCAAATACCTTCTTGTCAGCGGCGGCGCGTCCCAGCCTTGCGGTCTAGCAGAGATTTTTTTATGCCACCAACGATTTCGCAAGACTGATTGCGAATTGTTGCAGAGATTGTGGGAGAAAATGAGACAGAAACGTGTTGGTGTTGTCATTTTTATCAGAAGTGGCGAAGGAGTTGAAACTTGAGAGAAGATAGTCATCAGTTTATCAAATGTGTGCGTTTTTTTTTTTTTTTTTTTTTTTTTTTTTAAATTTATCCTTATTACCGTTGAGCTGCTTAGCGAATAAAACGGACAATTAATTATAGGACTTAATTATCCTTTACCAAAAAAATCCTCAGGGCAACAAATATTTCCCCAAAACAGCATTAAAGTTTCGGGGCAAACCTTTCTTTTATATATAAAGATAAGTCAAAAGTTCTTGTATTTATATATAAAGATAAACCTACTTCATGTTAACAAAATACTTGCAGCTAGAAAGGTAACATTAGGGAAAACATTTCAAAGATGTACGGATATTCACTCTAAAATTTGCATAGATAATTTCAATCCTAGTACAATAGGAAATAAGTGGCAAGTGCCAGTACGAAAAGAATAGGAACACAAACTCTTTTCATGTAACATCGTCCGCCTTTCTTTTCCTAAAGAAATTATGTTACCTATTCCGATGTACCTAAAAGAGTAGTATTACCTGAAGAGCTATTCAACACCTCAAAACCCGTTTGCTGTCAATTCCCCAAGTTAGACATTCATGTTTTTTTCCCTCCCTACACGTGAAGAAAATATCAGTATAATCAAGTGGAAGAATAATGAGTCTTGATCTTCAATCTGATAAGACATCATTACTAACTATTGCAATTACATATATAAGAATGTCATGATGCTGACCTCCGATCAAGCAAATAGGAGGATTACTTGTCTCCTTGATCTTCAATATTGCAGTCATCTCCAACTTATCAAACACAAATAAATGGTAAAAACAGGCTTCACACAACAGGAAAAATATGCATGAAAAAACAAATTAAAAAGCTAGGCGAGGTAATTCCAATGATTGTAGAAAATTCAGTAAAAGCTTTGTAAAACAGGCCACATAAAGCGCCGAAAATAATGCCAACAAATGTCACGACTGTTTAAGAACATTAAAACAGAGTTATCCGCATTTTTGTTTTGCCTGTTGTATGAGGGAAAACGTAGAATTCTTCTTCGCTAACAATATTTTCTTGAGTGAAGCGCAAGAGACGGATTTACAAAATAAAGCTGCAATTTTGTTAACACAAACAAAAGAACAAAATTTCGCAGAGCAGAGATATATTTTCGCATAATCCCAATGACCCACGAAAGATTTTTCGGAAAAGAACAAAATAACGCAAAAAACCAAGCAAAATTTCGAGGAGCTGCGATATTTTTCTGGTAAAAGAATAGTATAAAATCAGGTCTATGCTAAAGATTTTTTCAGAAAAGAGCAAAGTAGCTTTTCGCCAAAAATGCTCGCATAAATATTTTTTCGGAAAAGAAAGAAAAATTATTTTTTCATACTATCACATATCCACCAAATGATTTTTACGAAAAAGAACAGAATAACGCAAACAATATAGCAAAATTTAGAAGAACTTTAATTATTTTTTCATACTATCACAGATCCATCAAATGATTTTTACGAAAAAAGAACATAATAACGCAAACAATATAGCAAAATTTAGAAGAACTTTAATTACATTACATATAACGTCAAGAAAATTGGTCCCCGGAATTTCATTGCGGTTCAATTATAAAGCATTGTACCATCTAATGGCCTCCATTAGTCATTTCTTATTTCCATTTTCACTTACAGCAAGATGAACTATTGAAGCTTTAACAGAGCAACATACCTAAAGGCTAAAGTAAAGATGCAAGTAAATAGAGCAACAAAGAATTTCATGAGCAGCAGCTTGAATGCAAAACCAACCTCTCGACCAACCAAGTTGTGTGGAATTTGTCAATTTACACGAATAAATCGTTACAAAAGATAAACTTTGGAAGTAGATCTACAAAAACTAACAATTTTGTGCACGACTACTACAAAGAATCAATCATATAAAATTACATCCATAATAAACGAAACGTAATCAAGAAGTCTCAAACAAACAATTACCAAAAGCAGAGATTGGTCTTTGACGGCAAAATCCATAATATGAATGGAGATGATTGGGGATTATGTTCCTATGTATTGATGCTATGTTGTGATGGAAGAAGAGCAACAAAGAGAATCCAAACGATTGTTTGACGGGTGGAAACAAAAATTGGAAAGAAGAGTTGTGGAAACGTTCAGAAACTGATAATGGTGGCCAGAAATTAAAGCATGTCTGTACAGATCCATTGATCTAACATAGCAAATTTGCGAAACTTACAACCATTAAACACGCAAACTAAAAAAATAGACACAACCCATTTGTAAAAACAAAGGAAAAAACAAATAGGGTCTTACTTGGGTTGGTGGAAAGAAAACAGTGTGATGTAGTTGAAGAGATGGCTGAGCCCGCAGAGAGGTGAGGTGAATACCATAAACTGGTGACCCCAAATTCTCTTTGAAAACAAAATCTCTCTTTGAAATTCCGAAACCAAATTGAGAATTCGTCCAGAATAGCAACAAAGATCGTATTCAGAATTCTGTACTTTTTGTAGGCGGAAAAAAATGAAAATAAGGGAGTGGAAAGTGCAGAGATCGGTAATGAGGGAAATTAAGAGACCAAAGAATTAGAAAATTCAATTCCTTCTCCAAACATATAAAACCCCAAAAATAATCGAGCTGTGGATTCTACTTTTTGCCATCAGGTATCTGCAAAGCAATGAAGAAACACAATTATTGAATTTGGTATATTAGGAGAAATACTTACCATGAGATTGCTTCTGATTTTTCGATTTGCTCCATTGTTGCAGAAAAAAAGAGGTTTCTGTGTCAGTGGAGTGATGAATGTGTTTATACAACAAAGAAGCTAATAAGGGTAAGTGGAGAAGTGGAGGGAGAAGTTTCTACACAAGTTTTGCAGTTAGAAAAACGTGGGCAGTTTTCTATACAGAGTGGGACGAAAAAAAAAAAAGAAAAAGGCCAAAATAAAACGGAAAAAAATTCGGCTAAAAAATTAAAATTTCAAAAATAACCCTAGGTTTACGGTTAGGGTTTCGGGGAAAACCTTTCTTTTATATATAAAGATTGTATGTTAGGAATATAATTGACCCAACAAGCGGATCCAATGGAACGGAAAATATAAAACAATAACAAGAAAAATGGGCCGGGCCCAATTACTATATCTCCATTATTTTTAAAATTTTATTTATTTATTTTTCAATATTATATTATTATTACCAAGAGATGCATTTTTTCTTTACTTTCTGGATTGATAATATAAATTACGGCCACCCCTGAGACAAAGGTAAATCATGTTCGAATAATTACAACCATCTCCCTTAACTACAAATTTTTTTACATGTTTATATTTGCGGTGTTAAATTTAGTGAAATCTTCTAAATTATGTGAAATAACCTCCAGTATGTACTCGTTTTACATCATTCGAACTCCACTAACTGAAACAAGATGAACATGAGATATGTCTTTTGGCTTGTATATATTATATCGTGGTGCATCACAAACTGTTTTGTTATACAAAACGAGTACAAACTAGAGAACATTACACGGAATCTAGAAGATTCTGTTGAATTTGACACCATAAGAGTGTACGTGTAAGAAGATTCATAGTTGATGAGTGATTGTAATTACCCAATCATAAAAGATTTTTTCCCGGTAAATTGACATTACTTGAGGGGTGACCGTAATTTACCCAATAAAATATAAACAATTACTAATTTTTCTTTTTAATTACTTTTTTTTTTAATTTCTTTATTTAAAGTAAAATTGGGTGACAGCGACACTAATTATTTGAGTAAACTGCAAAAACTACCCCTGTGTTATCTCGAAATAGCAAAAACCCCCCTGTGATAAATAAACTAGCAAAAACCCCCCTGTGAAATTTAGTCAAAGGCAGAATCCCCCCTAGCTGATTTTTTAGACTTGAAATGACAAAATTGACCCTCAAAATGTATTTATATATATACATATTATATGTATATTTATTCTTTTTAATTTATTTGTTTAGAAATTAAAAAAAATAGTAAACAACTAAATTGATTATTTTTTAAATAAAATAATTAAAATATTTATAAAATATAAGAATTTATTAATTGCAAGACTCCAGGGGTATTTGTGTCTTTTTATATCAAGTCAACCCTCAAATAGTTCCATAGGGGGGTTTTTGCTATTTAAATAATTTCACAGGGGGGTTTTTGCTAGTTTATTTATCACAGGGGTGTTTTTGCTATTTTGGGATTACACAGGGGTAGTTTTTGCAGTTTACTCCTAATTATTTTGATGATTTAAGGCGCAAGAAACAAAAAATAAATAAAAGAAATCTGTGTCTCAATTCTCCCAACTGTTGCTTTCTTTCAATTTCAACACTGCGTAAATTTAATACACCATCAACTCGCACGCTTTCCTCTCTCTCTCTCTCTCTCTCTCACTCTCTCCTCTTTCTCTCTCTAGGGTTATCTATTTCGATGGCTTCCTCTTCAAGAATGCCGTCGTGCTTCCACTGCCACTCCTCCTCCTCCTCCACCCCCGACCATTTCAGAAACGGCTGGCGCCTCCGCAGCGGCCACCACGCTCAGCTCTGCCCTCCCTGCGCGTGAGTCACTTCACCCCACGCGCGCTCACACACACACACACACACACACGAAAGCAGCACATATTTGTTGATCGAATCTGTTTAGCTTCTTCTCGTTTTTATCATTTGGGTTTTCTGCTGCATTTGATCTAATTGTTGCTTTATATTTTTCATTTTGATTCTGTTCTGGTCAATTTTAGGGAAGGGGGTGTCTGGTTGCTTGCTTCTCAAGCAAATGGCAATTGGTGTGTGTTTTTTCTAGAAATTTTGCTCTTTGGTTAGGAAATTAGGAATTATGTAAACTATTATTAGTACACTTCTTTAAAGAATGTCGATCCACGGTTTGTGAAGAATTATTCCGAAATTGCCCGTTAGGCCTTTCGTGCTCATATTCGATAGTGTTAAAGCTCGTTTCTTTACTATTACATTCACCGTAAATATATATATATATATATATATATATAATTATTTACAACACTACATAGCTAGGCCTAAAAGGAAATTAACGATTAGAATCATTGACGCTATCCCGAATTTCCCGGTATTTTATCCTTCGTATGAACAGAGTCGCCTTTTGCGGACAAATCACTAACTCGTGTTTCTTGCAATATTCGATGGAGATAATGCACTTTCGTAATGTATCCTAATTAAATCATTAATTTTAATGTATGCAGTTCTTTATACGAGGAAGGAAGATTCTGCGAAGCCTTCCATAAGAACGATCCTGGATGGAGGGACTGTAATTCGTGTGGGAAGGTCAGTGCGTATAATCGTTAGAATTTTCCGTTACATAGACGTGTTTTTTTCGTTTTCTATTTAAAGTCGAATACTTTTTACAGGCTATTGCATCGATATTAATGCTTTAATTTTTTCCCGATGCAGATGGTCCATTGTGGATGTATAGTATCTTTCAATAATCATTTGATCTTGGATTGTGGCGGGATTAACTGCATGGAGTGCTCAAGGTTAAACTTTCTACTGGTACGAGAAATCGACAAACTGTTATTTTATTCTTGATGTGTTTCGATGTTTCTTAAATCGAACTTTTTGTTGTGAAGAATCCCATTTACCTCGTCAGTTATCGAGCCAAACTGAACTAGCTCGACCAAGTTCGAAAAAAGAAAACCAAAAATTTCCCAAATGTTAAATTTTATTAGTAAACCGTATCTACATATTTAATCGGTACTGTAGACATTCACATGGAAAAACTCTCCCCCCTTAATTGTCGATATTAATTAACGTATTCAGCCGCATAAAGTACGACGAAAAGTCACTATGATAGAAATAGGCGGGCATATTTATATATTGCTTTTATTGAGAAAATCAAATATAGTGCTTAATCCGGAAATTAAGGAAATTCTGTTGAATGATGCAGTTGAATGAATTCTGCCCATATTTTGTATGTCTTGTGTTTTCATGCAATCATGTCCTAACGTTTTACTGCAGGAACGAAATCGATGTATTTCACTCGAACCTGAGATAAGAGCTAAAGAATCTTATCAGGAATCTTTTAGTCAAGCTCCTGTAGATTCCCAATACTGTCCTCGAGTGACTGATGCAGAACTGCAACAAGTTTCTAGAAAGTATCCTTCGGTTTTTTTTAACTTCGTTGACTCGATATTCCGCTAAAGAAAATCCAAAAGATTCAATCTTTTTTGTCAATTGCTAAAATACTAAGAATCTTTGAAGCCAGATCGTCAATTTACTGTATTAATGCTGATGTTTATTTATACCGAAAATAATCCTTGACTATATTATAGCCCCAAAGCTACTGTCACTCCTCTGTTCGAAAAGGTACTGTCAGAGAGCGACGCTGACCTCAAATTCGCACGGCTCGTAGTACCAAAAAGATGCGCGGAGGTAGTAATTTCTACATTTATTTGCATATATTTGTATTTCTTGGGGAATTATTTCAATTTTCAATAATCTTGAATTTTTTTTAAAACAGGCATTTTTCCCTGATATTTCCGATTTGCGTGGCTTGCGAATAAAAATACAAGATATAGAAGGCAACGAGTGGCAATTCCATTATCGATATTGGCTCGATTGTGGTAGTAGGGTTTATGTTCTTGAAGGGCTTAGAGATCATATTGTCTCGAAGAAATGGCAGCCCGGTGATACAGGTAGTTCTTAAAAATCCATTTTCAAGAAAATACGATTTTTTATTTTATTTTATTAGCTATCTTGTTTAGCTTAGAGATTTTAATATCGGAAACTAGTAAATAAAGCTTGTTCTTGATGATTATAGCGTCCCTAGTCATAGTAAAAAACACGTCGTTCAAGTCGAGTTTTTAGAATTTGTAAGGCAATATGATCAACATAAATATACAATTTTTTTTTAATTTTTTTGCAGTGACATTTTATCGAGTGGAACCGGGGGGAAAGGTGGTAATGGGATTAAGAAAGACTTCTGCTGGCCCTCAGATTCCAAGGTATCTTTCGTAGTGTAGATATATCTTATTTGTGGTCTAGTTCGATAAAACATTTTTTCTTTCGAAATTTACTAATTATTTGATGCTTTTTTTTCGTGTCATCAGAATCTAGCAAGGGTGAGAGTGGAATAAATAAAGTAAAATAAAATAAGAAATAGCAAAGCTGCAGCTTGACAATGTGAATATCCGGTTCTGTTTGTTTCCGTATCTTTTATCGGCTCCTAGGCGTCGTCGGTCCAACTTTGCTTTTATTTTTCGACATTTTAGAAAGTGAATTATATTTTCAGTTCTAATTTTCGAGCGTGTCTAAGAATTTCGTGCGAGACTAATTTTAGTTTCTCTGAATTTTAGTATTTTTTTTAATAGCAGAATTCAGTTGTAAATGGATTTTTCTTTTTAATGTTGGCATGTGAAGAGGTCTGTTGTAAATTAATGATGTAACATTAGAATACACTAATATTAATAATGTTTTATTTATTTTATTCAGTGTTTTCCTTGATCTAATTGTTACCTAATATATAGTTATAGTTAGTTACTAATGGATTTTTCCATGACAAACAACATTAATCAATACGAATGAGTTACTATCGAAGCTCAAGATTATCGAACGATTACATTGAAGAAACAATCTGTAGCAAATAATAATATGTTACAACCCCCCGAATACAGGGAGAGTAAAAAAGACCCAAAAAAAAAAATACGACTCGTGTAGTATTGTGTTGCTATGGCAGATTTAAAAAAAAAAAAAGGCCGATAACGTTCAATGTTTTGTGAAGAGCCCTTGTGTCAGCGAGGAAAAATCGAATTCTTTATCAGACGATTGCGAAGAACTTGAGGGAATTGAGGGTATAGATTGTTTACCAGCTACAGAGGGCATTATATTGCCATCACTAGAAGCGCTCGATTCCACTGTATATGAGCTGCTGCAGCACAATCGATAAAGATTAACAATCTTAATAAAATTAGGTCCGGTTTTGTCCGGTCCATTATTTACAAGAACAACGAAAACAGATTAATTGACGGATAAATCCCAAATTTATCCCTTAAACGAACATAAAATCGTCGATGGGAAAGCAGCAATTGAACTTTCATAGTATTATCTTGAGATCCTATATGAGTTGTGGAGGGGAGAAATGAACTGTATGTTTATCTCCACAGAATAGAAAATAAATCTTCGAAATAAGTATTAACTATTTATGCAACATCAATAAAGTTTAGTCCATCGACAATTGGTTTTCTCAGCAAATACATGGATCTAGAATAATTTCAATATTTACATCGACCGCATAAAATAGTTTAATGCACATACCTAGAAATAGGGAAAGCAAAAGAGTTGCCGACTGAATGAGTTGCTCCCATGTTTCCCATCTGTCACCCGATAAAAAAGAAACTTAATTACGTCTATATTCTCAAATTTCCAAAGAAAAATGTAAGGTAAAATGTTCAATCGAGATTGCCCCTCCCCTACTTTCCTATTTTTCTTATTTGTAACAAGAGTTGAATTTTAAAAGGCAATTTTTTTTTAAGAAAATCCCGACGAAATGTTAAAAACCATTTCTTTTACCTGTGAATATTTATCTAATTCAATCTTCCCAGCAGCTGGTGGATTCGACATTCCAGGAAACTGGTAACCAGCATTAGGCCAATTTTGGTTGGACAAATTAGCACCGTTAAGCCCTAATTGCGTGTTACCGGGTACCTTCGATGCTCCCCCAGAAGCATTGGCAGCCATTAGAAGAGATTGTTGTTGAGCAAGCATAGCGAGTTGTTGTTGGTGAGCAGAAAATGGTGAAACCATATTTGACTGCATGATGACAAGATAAGATGAGTTGGATTATTTCTTGAAAAATACCCGAAGCAGCAATAGTACCAAAACACAATAAAAATCCACCCGTGTGCTCAGATTTGTATGAAAATTCTCAATATCGATATCAGAAAACGTGGACCCTTTTCCTTATCCTATAGTATTGGAAACTAAGTACCTTCTCAAAGAGAGACATGATATCATTTTTGACGTCCTTTTGAGGTGTGCCTGACACAGAACTAGGTGCGATAATTGACGGTGAATCCTTAAATAGGTCTTCAATTCCAGAAGGGGTCTGTGATTTATTTTGACCATTTTCTGGTGGGACTGTCTTTTCTGTTGACGATGGTGCGCCAGCAACTGCAAGTTAATCAAATGTTACTTCCAGAAGAAACATGCATATCCAGCCATAGAGAGAGAGAGAAAATGCAAGAACACTATGTGCACTTACACTGAAACCCTGCCCATGCATTATCGTCCTCAGATGTGTCGGTGGCATTTTCACCAGAACCATCTACAGAAAGCATACTGAAAAGATCGGTAGCAAAATCAACTTTAGTGGGAGAGACTGTGTCTTGAACTGGCTCAGTTTTCTGAATCACTTGTTCAGTAACTGGAGCTGGAGATACCTGTTGTCGCACAGACAAATAAGAACCCACATTTGTACCATATTAGCAGGAGCAAAGATGGATAATAATCAAAATTATTGAATAAGAAATACGAAGTCACATTAAAAAATATTGATACCATTTGGATCTCAGTCTAGGGAGAAAACCCGTTATCACTTCATTGTAGGTGTTATGAAGATGTTATTACCATTTAATACAAAAGACGATTGACCACAGTATCATAAAGGCGTTAAAAGAAAAGGCAAAAATACATGCAATAGAACATACTTGTTGAGGTCCTCTAGGTGGAGCGGGCACATTTATTCGGGCATTGGGGGTTGCTTCTTTAGCACTAGATGTCGGAACGTTCTTCTTTTCATCCGAAGAGTTCCCGGAACTGCTGACGTGTCCATACCCACTTCTATCGTTTGCTCTTTGCCACTGGACGGGTGCTTTTTCTTCGACTCTCTTAGGAGGTGATTTTGGTTTCCCATCCTTGGATACCCATCTCTTATCTTCATACCTAGTTAAGTATAGGCAAGATAAAACCAGAAGTCAGTTCGTAGAATCGGACATGAAATACGGTTTCATAACAGAAGTTTTGAGAATAGAAAGGACATACTTTGCGCGAATGAAATTCTCAATCCCAACTCTATCATAATTTGGGGGAAGGTTGGCCTCCCAGTAACTGTTTGCCTTCTCGTTTCCCATGGCTATGATTACAAAGAGAAGAAAGATTTATAATATCCGTTTCAAATGTCACATGATATTGACCTAGTAGAATTAAGACATGTGAAACTCTTACATTGAATAAATGCAACCTGTTCAGGAAGCCATGTGTCAAGGGTAGCAGATCTCACCTGAAAAATGACGAAATATTAAAAAATATTCAAATGAAATTGCCTACTTCTACAAGAAAAGTAAGATAAAATTTATTGATTCATAAATGAGTGTTTCTTTTATCCTACTTAAATAAACAAAGCAAAACTATCAATGTTACGATATAACCTTAATAAATTAATAACCTTGCTTAAATAATAATTTCTTCCGGTCCCGACTTGGTGAAAATATATTAAATTATTAGTTCGATAATTTAATATTTCGCTAAATTTAATAGAATTTTACTAGTCCTGACTGTATTAATTCAAGGTTGAAATTATCCTGGCATTTGCTTCAAAGAATGCCATGTTTGAAAGTAATGGACAAATACTAGCCACTGTACCAGCATAGGTTAGCACCATTCAGTAATAAATAATTAAACTATCAACATGAAATTCAGATCATACAACATATCTTAAAATCCTATAATGGTAATCGACTCAAAGTCTTTCTCCGCCGCTGAAAATATTTACCCACATAATAAACCTCTTCAAAACCATAAAGAGAAAACTAGTGGCGAAAAAAGAGATCACCTTTGATATGTGCACTCCAAGACTTCTGTGGATCCCAGAGCATGACATGCATATAAATATGCCCAAATTCACGCTAGCCCATCGAGGACCCCTGTTTCATTTCAACAGGAAATAGATACTCAGAGGAAATAAAAGAGAAAGAAAGAAAGAAAGAAATGAGATGACCGTCACAGTTAGTTAAATCCATGAAAGTAAGAATTACATTGGTTTCTAATTAATAATGGAATTAAATGCCTAATTTCTGAGTCGGACTCGTTTTCTTCACCTGCGTAGCTAATGCAAAAAAAAAAAAAAGAGAATTGTTAGAAATACTTACTTGCATTTGCAATCAGCACATTCCCTATTTTCCGGCAATTTCAGAAGTCCTTCCAAAATCTGACGACACAGATCATGAGTATCAACTCAGACAAAGAAAACAAAAGGGATGAAGCAACTAAACCAAGAACGCAATAGCTTTGGGAAGTAACACGTCTAAATGAATACAACAAAGGCCAAATAACATAAGCAAGATAATAAAAAAAATGCAGGATTACTAGAATATTGAACAAGTCTTATAATACGTTGTTCTACAAGCTGCCAAGAAATTGGAACCCGGAAGTAAAATGTTACTACACGGTAAGCATTATGTAACATGGCTGCTATATATCATATTATACGTTAGAATAACATCCTTATCAATAGGAACATTACAATTCTGGTGTTTTTTGTATTCTTTCATCATCCATTTACGTTTAATGAAAACTTAACCCGGGAGGTATAGAATTGGTCGAACCAAGTTAACTGAAAACAAAATCAGAAATCGTCCAAAAACATATTTTTGCTCCTTGCATGTGGTTAGTGTAACTATCTTCGTATACACTAAAACACCACTTCCACAAAATGCTATATTTCGAAAAACCACAACTAATACAGAAACAAGTGAATAAGTAATACACGAAAAGCAAAAACACCATCGTCGACATATATACAAGTTCCGTACATCCACAATTCGAATAACCAATCATCGAAATCCCCATTCTACCTAGATCAATGAATCAAATCACCTAAATCTCAAAATTACTAAACACACCACCTCAGTTACACACTTCCAACTGTTTTCCGACTCTCACCAGCTACAAAATTACCAAAAAATCCCTTCAATTTAACCACCATCCACATCAAATCCAGATTAAGGTAAAAAAAAAAAAAAAAAAACCAATCAAATTATCAAGCTAGGGTATGCAAAAACAACGAGATCGAAATAAATAAATAAGAAAAATTTAATTCAAAATTCAGCAACAAAAAAACAAACCTTACGATGCCTGGCGTTAAGCTCTTTGGAAACATTGGCCTTCTGATTCATGGTTGATTAATCTCCAATCCGCGCAGCGAAGAAGAAGAAGAAGAAATGGAAATGCGGCTGAGATCTTTTCCTCTCTCCTCTTCCGCCGTATGAGGACCGTTGGATTGGATTTCCAGCACCGGGAAATTGAATCAGGATATCGAGAAGAAAACACAGAGAAATTGCAAAACCAGCGTTTTTTTTTTCTTTCTGAATTGACTTTTATTTTTATTTATTTTTTCTTCCTTTTTTTAATTATAATAATAATATAAAATCCTTTTTTTTTCCTTTTCAGTGTTTTAGGTTGAAATACGTGTGGAGTGTGGGATGACGGTGATTTTTTCTTTTTCTGGCACGTGTGGAGTTGTTGAGGGGGGTTTATTACAGCAGTTACAATTGCACTAATTAAACATTTGGTCCATTATATTTTAAAAATTCAATATTTTTAGTCATTTTGATTAGTTTTCCGTGAGTACTAACGTAATCAAGCTTGTGTCCCTCATTGACTTAACTAACAACTAACGAAAAATTGACGAAAATGACCAAACTTATTAAATTATTAAAATATGAGGGGCCAAATGTAGTTTTTGTGAATATAAATGATCAAATGTGGAATCAGTACAAATTTGAAAGATGAATAGTGTAGTGTTGTCAATTTATTACTAAATATTAAATACCTTAGCAAGGCAATTTTCATTTTATTTCGTATTTGCTTAGCTTTTCAAAATGGAGTTCCATGACAATTTCTAAAGTTTTTATCTTCTTCGGACATGATATATTTGCTACACTAAAAAGATTTGACAGTAAAAAAAAATATCTTCACTAGAAAAACTAATTAACATCTCTTCAATTATCAAATTATACTTCTAAAATACATTTTCTCAACCCCTTTAAACATAATTTGACTGCTACAGTGCATTTCTATCTCATCTCAAATTATAAACAAATATTACTTTAATTCTCAAATTAAAGTAAAATAAAAATAATCCTCAAAACGATTCCAAATATTGCTCAAATTTTCGATATATTAAAGTTTGGTATGTCATGCTTACGGTATGACAATTATTAATTATTACTCCATCTGTGCCATAATATCTGTCTCTTTTGAGAATTTTTTTTGTCCCATATTATCTGTCACTTTACAATTTCGATGCTGCATTAATTGCTTATTTTTCAATTTTACCCTTATTAACTCTCTAGCACTCTTCCTGCATTAATTAATAAACAAGGGCATTATAGTCGATCAATATCTATTTTCCTAAAATCAAAACATATTTCTTGAGATTTTTAAGATTTGTGCCAATGTGAAAAACGACACCTATTTAAGAACGGAGGGAGTATATTAATAAATGATTTTGAGCTACTTTCGAACTAAATATAAACATGTTCTTTCTTACAAGTTACAACCAAATCAATCCCACAACATTTTATACCTAATAACAAATTAAATTCAACTCTTGCATATTTTTCATGGATCCAATAATTTTATTTTATATTACTTAAAAAGAATGTGTTGATTATAATAATTAGAGATGGGTAACTAGTGGATGTTAATGGGTTAGAGTTTAGACAATATGCAATTATTGAGATTCAAAAGTGATTATGGATATTTAGCATTATGTTATAATTGTATTTTTTATACTCTTGTCCAAGGGGAAACTGCAGATAAATCCCTAATCCAAAACACAAAACACAGATCAGTCCCTAGGTAGTTTCCCCAAGCAAATCAGTCCCTACTCACGCGTCTGACATGAAAATCAGTCCCTAATGTGAATTTAATATATTTTTATTATATTCACTCTCTTCTTATTTTCAGAAGTAATCAAGTCGTAATATGAGCATAAATGACACATGAGCTCATTTGTTTCTCATTCATGGCTTCTTCGAGTAGCACCACTCAAACGAGTGGGTTAAAATACAAAAAATGGAAATGTAAGCGTCTTGATTGTGGGAAGAAAACAATAATCATGGTTTCAGAAACTATTTCGAATCCCGGAAGGTTATTTTACTGTTGCCCACACCATGGCTACTCCCATTGGTGTGAACCATTTGAAGTTGGGCAAACTTTTTCCCACAACAGCTCAAATCGTTAAGAAAATGAAGCTACAAGTGCGTCACGTCGATGAACCAAGTCCATCAAGAAAGTGAAGTGAAGAATTGCAATTCTGAAGGTAGAGTAGTTCATAGTTTGATAGTGTTGAATCTAGTAATATTTGCAGTCTACATGCTATGTAAAATCTATGTACTATTGTTTAATCAGTGAACATAAGAGTACGGTAAAGTTAGGGTTATTCGTGAATATAGTATGCTTTGTTCACCAAATAAGTACAATGTATAAGCTGGTAAAGTTCGGGTTATTCGTGAATATAGTACGCTTTGTTCACCAAATAAGTACAATGTATTGGCTGGTAAAGTTCGGGTTATTCGTGAATATAGTACGCTTTGTTCACCAAATAAGTACAGTGTATAAGCTGGTAAAGTTCGAGTTATTCGTCAATATAGTACGCTTTGTTCATCAAATAAGTATAATGTATAAGCTGGTAAAGTTCGGGTTATTCGTCAATATAGTACGCTTTGTTCATCAAATAAGTATAATGTAAAAACCGGTAAAGTTCGGGTTATTCGTGAATATAATACGCTTTGTTCACCAAGTAAGTTTAATGTATATACTGGTAAAATTCGGGTTGTTCGTGCATATAGTACGCTTAGTTCATCAAGTAGGTACAATGTATAAACTGGTAAAATTATGGTTATTCATGAATAGTACGTTTTGTTCATCAAGTAAGTACAATGAATACACATGTGAAGTACAAGTTATTCGTGAATATAGTACGCCTTGTTCATTGATAAAGTATATGTTTGCCATTTATATAGTATTGTTACACTTTATATATTATTGTGGGGCCAATGCATCCATCTAATCGCATTTTAAGACACAATTCTTCATATTAAGACTATTATAAGTGAATAGAGACAATGTGGGAGTCGATCAATATCGATTAGGTAACATTTGAGGAAAATATTAGCTTTACACTTGAGCATTGTACACTTATATGAGTATCTTGTATAGTATATGAGTATCATGTATGAAATTCTACATATTTATGGGATCTTGTATTCCAAACGCAACAATAATTCTCACCTACCTTAGAATAATCATCTAAAACATAATTTATGCATCTCCCATACTTATTGATCATTAAAGTGTCAATGAAATTGGTACAATTCAATTCATCACAAAATATGGTACACTTTGTTCATCAAGTAAGTACAGTGAATACACATGTGAAGTACAAGTTATTCGTGAATATAGTACGCTTTGTTCACTGATAAAGTATATGTTTGCCATTCATATAGTATTGTTACACTCTATAAGCTATTGTGGGGTCAATGCATCCATATAATCGCATTTTAAGACACAATTCTTCATTTTAAGACTATTAAAAATGAATAGAGACAATGTGGGAGTCGATCAATATCGATTATGGTAACATTTGAGGAAAATATTAATTTTACACTTGAGCATTGTACACTTATATGAGTATCTTGTATAGTATATGAGTATCATGTATGAAATTCAACATATTTATGGGATCTTGTATTCCAAACACAACAATAATGCTCACCTACCTTAGAATAATCATCTAAAACATAATTTATGCATCTCCAATACTTAATGATCATTAAAGTGTCAATGAAATTGGTACAATTCAATTCATCACAAAATATGGTACGCTTTGTTCATCAAGTAAGTACAGTGAATACACATGTGAAGTACAAGTTATTCGTGAATATAGTACGCTTTGTTCACTGATAAAGTATATGTTTGCCATTCATATAGTATTGTTACACTCTATATATTATTGTGGGGCCACTGCATCCATATAATTGTATTTTAAGACACAATTCTTCATTTTAAGACTATTAAAAATGAATAGAGACAATGTGGGAGTCGATCAACATCGATTTATGGTAACATTTGAGGAAAATATAAGTTTTTCGTAAACACACATCTGAAGTACAGGTTATTCGTGAATATAGTACGCTTTGTTCATCAAGTAAGTACAAGTCTAGTGTTGACAAGGTATCTTCGAATAGACTAGAAAGTATTTGTTGCTCATTTTTATGGTACGCTTGTATTCTTTATACAAACTCAATTCATCGCAAAATAAAGTACCATGTGTTCAAAAGGTAAGTACAATTCGTTGAAACATATAGTACGATGTATACAATGGAAAAGTACGAGTAGAGCTAACCAATAGTATTATTAGCTCTACAACAAAATGACAGATTGTTTATGGCACAAAAACACATTCATCTGTTCATGAAAAAGAAAAAAACAAAAAAACCCCAAAACACTTCCACTCCCATATTTTTTACAATAACGCTACATCTCTTTCATCTTTAGCTTCCACTTCTACTCCCCGATGCCTCGGAAAGATAATTGTTAGTTTAGGGCGAAGTGTTTTGATATCGCAAGTTTTTGCCTTAAACCAAATATATGTATTGTCTACAACATGACAATATGCCCACAAGCAGACAAACAAGCCGTAATTCATACACATAAAAGTACAATTATAACAAATACAACGTACTATAAAGTTCCACTACTAATACTTCCAGTAATTTCGTTCAATACCATTGTTGCATATGACACATACTACATTACAATCAAACATTATACTTCCAGTACCCTTTGTCAATACCATTCGAATGCACAAGCAATACCATTCAAAGGCTCTAGCAATACTATTGGGACATATGACACATACTACAGAACCATCAAACATTATACTTCCAGTACCCTGTGTCAATACCATCCAAAGTCACTAGCAATACCATTCAAAGGCACTAGCAATGCTATTGTGGCAAATGACACATACTACATAACCATCAAACATTATACTTCCAGTACCCTATGTCAATACCATCCAAAGTCACTAGCAATACCATGCAAAGCCACTAGCAATACTATTGTGGCATATGACACATACTACAGAACCATCAAACATTATACTTCCAGTACCCTGTGTTAATACCGTCCGAAGTCAAGAGCAATACCATTATTAGGACTAAATGCTTTCGGGACAGTACTTCGAGTACCCTGTGTCAATACCATCTAAATGCACTATTAATACCATTACTGCGCATGACACATACTATAGAACTAGTACGAAAAATACAATAAGCCCCTTTCCCATATCCTATATGAAACCCTTGTTAGGACTCAAAAT